AGTGGCCTGCTTTTAGCAAACCAACAAAATTTAACAAGAATTATCTTGTTCTGTAATAATTGGGAATCTAAATGGTCTTGGCACCCACTGCCTCACCACTTATTACTACAGTCCATTTATGAACGACACGTTGTGGTCTGTGATTATATATTGGTCATGTGCATGACACTTATTTTGCACATTAATGTCCTTTGACTGAACTGACATGTGATCAGTGCCTATGACGTTAACTGTCGTTTAACGTTCGTACCCAGGAGGAATATAGAGAACATGACTAGCACATTCTCCGAAACATTGATGTCCTTAATTAGATGAACTTGCAACATTTCAGAACAATTTTCGTGCAATACCTGTGGTTTTATAATGAATTCTAGTAGGAATTCAGGTCCTGTGATCTTTGTGAAATTATTTGCATGACAATTAGAGCATATCCTGCACATCGTGTCCTTTGAATGAACTTACATTACATGTAGGTCAATACTTGATATAGTGACGTACCTGTGGGTTTATGTTCAAACCCAGGAGGAATTTATATTGCAATGCATGAAGAGCACATTCTCCACATTAATGTCCTCTATATGAACTTGCAATTAGAATAATTTTTATGCAGTGCTTATGCTTTTTTTAAAGCACCACATCGTATATAAAGAGCATCATACAAAAAGAATAAGTATAAATTTACTATATGATATCATCCAACACACTATTTAATATATGCATAATTATTAGTAATGGGTATTTAAATAAATGGATGATAAATGGCTGATTTGCTAACTTATATTTCTGAAAGTCTCTTTGCACAACATCTTTAGGAGTTTAAGAGATTTGGGTAGTTATGAATAATAAACAAAGACAGATGTGGGCATGCATGCAAGTACAAAGGTGCCATCTGTTACCAAACATGATAGCAAAAAGCCTGAAAAGAATACCATTGCAAAGGTCATTTCCTTGAAAGTTGGTGATCAATTTGATACAACCATGACATCAATGACATCTTTTTTTCTTTTTTTTTAATTAAAAAAAAGTAGTTTAATAAAGTGAGGGAGAAACACCTTGGACTTGCCTCGATGTGCATTTAAAATTAATGAATGCATCTATCGATCTGAGAAAACTTCATAAATTACATGTACATGTAAACCTGGTATCACGCCTTGCAGGTTTCACTGCCTACTCTTATAATATCATTACAAGTTGTACAACTAAGGGCGGAACGAAAACCCAGCTCTAAATGACAAGGCAGAATATATACTCCCAGTCAGAACTTCTCATCTGCTTGGACTGTCGCCATTGATCAGACCAAAATACTTCCATGCTTTAGTAGCTGACGGCTTTCCATCAGGTTTGCGGCTGTATTTGGGTGCTGATTCATATGGACTAGCTTACAGCTGAAGTCTGCTATGACTGTGTGCCAGAAACGAAGCATCACAGAGACATGATTGGCGTTTGTTTTCGCTTTGAAATTGATCGTGACATGGTGTTTTTTCAAGAGGAAGTTTTAATATAAAGAACAGCACACTGTACTAACAGATGATTTTATTGTGTTTCATTTTGTTGTATGACGTATGGTACTTGACTACTTTTTATACTGAATTATTACCTTTTTAAGAAAGCCAGAACAGCTGTCTGTTTCCCTCTCTCTCCTTCCCTTTCATTTCTCATCCCTGTCCTCACTCTGTCTCTTTGACTCTTCTTTCTTCATCCCCTTAACTCTAGATGTATACTCTCTTCCTCCCTCTCTCTCTCTCTCATACTCTGTCTCACTCTCTCTCTTACTCTGTCTCCCCGCCCCCCCCCCCCTCTGTGTTATTTAGGGTACGCATATGCGTGTTCCAAGCGACCCCCCCTTTTCAGCAAAAGTCCGGTGTGTAAAGTCAATACGGGTCAACCTTTTTCTTTTGTTACGAAAAGGACATTTTGGTAACACGCATGGGGTCCGTCCGTTCTCGGAGTGGGGTGGCCGGGTCTGTCTCACTCTCTCTCTCTCCCACCCTCACTCTCTCTCCCACCCTCACTCTCTCTCTCCCACTCTCTCTCTCCCACTCTCACTCTCCCTCCTCCTCACTCTCATTTTCTCATACCGATTTAGGTCTATTATTTACTTTAACGTATCATGTCCTTACTTTATTAAACCAAATGAGTGATATTGCTAAAGTTCTATTCATGTCCCCCAGAAATCTTGGATCAAACGTCCTTTGTCCAGTCCTATTTTAATGTTTGGACTGTTGCCATATCCCATCAAAACATAGTAAGCCACATGCAAGCACAAGCCATAAAACCAACAAGTCAAGATGCCCTTCAACTTCTGAAATGACACAACTCCCACATACTGCAATACTGCATCATATTGCCTGTCAAAGGGAATGCCTATGAGTTCCTCTAGTGGTGTAGCCAGCTGAGTTACGATGGGTGTCAAGATGGTGAAAAGAGAGAGAGAGGGAGGGAGAAAGAATGAAAGAGAGAGAGAAATAGAAAGAGAAAGAGAGAGAGAGAGAGATAGAGAAACAAGGAAAGAAAACAAGAAAAGAGAAGGGGAATGGGAATGTGAAAAGATGATGATATGACCCTTCTATAAAAAAGCTCTTTATTTAATAGAATTCGCTCCCCAAATGATGCCTGGTGCCCCATCATTATCCGAACCCATGCCACACCAATGAGGCCAGCCCTACAATTCTGCAGTGAAACATGGACCTGCTGGTATCATCATTAAAGCAGGGCTCCCACTTAGCCGAGGTGGAGCCTCGTGTTGTGGCGAGCTGGCACGAGCTTATGGCAAGCCGTTTTATCATTAATACCTATTTCTTGATATCAAGGATTCAATTCTTGATATCAAGAAATCAAATTCTTGATTTTCGGTTAAGAGCAGTCGGTTAAGAGCAAAGCTCTCAAACAATTCAAGAAAGAGATACAATAATCCAGAAATTCAAAATACTAAACAATATGGATCTTGCATTTAGATAACATTTGAATTTAAAGTGATTCCCAATATGTCTAAACAAAATTCTTAGATCAGAGTATTTAAATCATAGTACTTATTTTTAGGACAATATTCACTAATATGAGGCATGTCTTCTCTCTTATCAAACAAGTTCATAAAACTAGAAATACCAGAGGTTCTCTAAATATAATCAGCTAAATATACTTTCAAGGAAGTCCTCTATCTACAGCCTATTAAATGAATAGGCTCCTCAGGGATGTCAAAGCCAATTTAATGTTGTAGCATATGCCCTTCCTAAATAATCACAAGCTTGTGGATGCACATTAGTTCAAAAAGTTCACGTCTTGAAGCAGTGCTTTCATTTCTTTAAAGATAAAGTTGAGTACTGGTCATGCGATTGCATTGTGAAAGAAACGGTGTGGAATTGATCAGAAAAGGTTGATCATTTAGCATAAAAGTATTGGTGTGTACTGCAAGGTTCTGGAATCATCAAAATGATAAGAAATGTGGCCCAGTCTTGGTAAAGTTGCAAACACTATACACAGAAAGATGTATATGGGACTACACAAATGGTGTCGGGTTAGTACACCTTGATTTCCTTTTCTTTCTATGCTCATTACTCAGCCAGTATACATTTTCTACCAAAATTGTTTGGCAAATGACATTTATTTGTAATCTTGAACTTTCAGTGTAAGTTTTGTTTGATTATGTGAGAATCAGGGCTTAAATTAATCCAAGGCCACCAAGGCCATGGCCTTGGATGCCCCTTTGATTGGCCTCATTGCCCCTCTCACTGGCCTTGGAGATTTTTTGTGCCCTTTCCAATTCTTCCTATTTGTGCTGTAATATAGGAATGTGCACTACAGAAATGTGGCCTTGCCCTAAAAATATTGAAATTTAAGGCTTGGAGAATTCATTTTCTTTTTGTTACCAGAACTCAATTTTATCTTTAATATTCCACACGAGGAGGATAAAACTTCATAGTTTCTTAGAATTCCTAGTGTCTTGCTATTATTAAAAAGTGAAGATTTTTTTTTGGAGGTCTTACCAAAACTATACATGACCTTTAAGCAGGCCTCCATGTGCTATTCTAGGTGTATTTAGATCCTTGTTGCTAATTGTAATTAGTTAATTTCCTGATCAGGCGATTGCCTGGTGATCAAGTTCAATCACATGGGAAACCGTCATTGAGGAAAGGTGTTGCTTTGTGGTCAGTTCCTGTAAGTAGGGGAGGAGTTCTGGCTTATTTTTGATATCTTATTGGGGGTTGCTATGTAAACATAGTCATAATAAATAAAGATTTTTCTATTTATATGAAACTGAACCATACTGCTTTTCTTTTCATGTTTATCTACAGTTCACATGATATAGCTCTTTATAACCTCCTTCCCAAGACATTATCTTTGTCCATGTCATGTTTTTTCCTTTTAATGATAATTACAATAATAATAATAATAATAATGATAATAAAAATGATAATAAAAACAATAATAATTAAAAAAACAATAATGGTAATATTAATAATAATAATAATTATAATGATAAATAATGAATAATAATAATGATCAAAATTTTCCTTTCTTGTTTAGTGCATATCACATTATAATGTCCATGTGCGCTTCCAAAAAGTTTTGAAAATTATAACCTTGGCTTTAGCTTCAGAAGCCGTTATTAGCACACAGTACATTTTAAGGAATAATCCTGCCAGGTACCCATTTACCTCACATGGGTGGAGTGTGGCAAATGTAAATTAATGCCTTGCCAAAGGACGTTAGTTGTTGTGGCAGGGATTCGAACCCTGTACCTTGTTGTTCACAGTCCAGACTCCAGAGACTTGTCCATTGGACCACAACACATTTACATTTCTATCTGTAAGGATGTAAAAACTTACACCATCTTCTTCTTTTTCAGTTTTACTCTTCTCGGCTGATTAGATGGCAAGATTACATAGAAGGTCTATGCCGAAAGCAGAATTTCTATGTTGCTGTTCAGGTCTTCATATCCTACATCCAGAGCTTATTTAATAACCCCCTTTCTCACTTCCATCCCTTCTTTCTCCTACCAGCTCATTGTAAGATGCCTTGAAGACCTAGCCAAAGATGGCAAGATTATAGAGAAGGTGTATGGAAAGCAAAAGATTTATTTTGCTGATCAGGTAAATTATCTGACTATAATCTTGAGTTGAGAATTGTTTCATACAATGGTGCTGTTCTATGTAAATTTATTGGAGATAGAAACACCCCTGCTCAATATTTTGCTTTTTTTGTAAATAGAAAAGTTGCATTGCTTCAAGTATACAGAAAACTGTTGAATGGGTGAATATTTAGAGTTAGAATTATATATGAACAGACTACTTGATCCTTATTGGTCAATGAAGTTGTAATTATTAGGGACTTTTAGATTTGCATGGACTGATACGTGTGACGTCCATTCAAGACAGTGCATTAAAAGGACGTCGATCGTAGCAATCCACATTGTCTTTGTGCAAATCTAAAAGTCCCTATTTTAGAAAGTTGGCTTCTGATTGGTTGGTTTGAGAAGAGTTGATAGCTAAGTTAAAGCAGAAAGCTCCATCCTTATTGGCTAAACTTATAAAGATGGCAAGTATAAATGGTTCTGAAATGATATTTAGTTTTAAAACCTCCAAAAAGGCTCTCAATTTAAATTAATTGAATACAGACATTTATTGCAGCCAGATGACTAAAGTTTGCTGAGTGGCCCACAGCTGTTCAGAATCATGAATATTGAATAACAAATTGTTGCTTGCCTGCAAGTGGGATTAATATCTGATTTTTGCAAGTAATATAGAGATGTTTTGTTGTTAAGGCCTCTGATAAATTTTGATGTATTTGCTTATTTAATTTTTAATTTTATTGTTTAGAGTCAATTTCCAAGTGTAGATGAGAAAGAATTGAAGGACATGGACACCAAGATCACTGGGTTGACAGCCAGTTTAGAGACTTCTAGGACAAAATGCAAACAAATGGAGAAAGGTAATAACAATACAGGCACGATCATGGCTCAGTGGTAGAGCAGTGGTCTCTTAATTTGGAGGTCCCTGGTTCAAAACCAAGTCAATTCCAATGTCTATTCATATGATTATGACTTATAAAGAGAAGGAATTAATTTTAGACAGGGATTAAATTTAATTAATTAATTAAACTACAAAGGTCACAAGGGATACAGTGAGGATCAGCTAGATTGCTGTGATGATCATGTTAAAAAAAACTGTGATGGTCATTATTTGGAATCTAGCTTGCATGTGTAATTACGCGAAATCATTGAATGGTCTAATACCTTAGTCACACTACTGAACCAACTCCACACCCAATCAAAACACACCAATTTTCTGTCGTTTGTGGTATTGTAATTGTTTTTTGGCCTGTTGTCAGTCTGATGTCGGTTTCGTTGGTGTGATTGAGGTATAATAGTCATTGCCATAAATTTTTTCTCCTTTTCTTCCGTTCAGAAATCGCGATGTTGAATAGTTCCTTGACCAATGATGAAGCCAAGCAGAGGATACAAGAACTCACAGCCATGGTAGGTTTCTATACAGTCAGTGGCGTAGCTGCAAGGAGGAAGGGGTGGGGGGGGGGGTGGCACTACCCCTACATTCCCACACAAATGGCAACATAAAGGGGGAGAGGGGGAGTTGGGTGGGGGGCTTATAATATGTGTTTCTTAAAGCTTCAATGAGGCCATACCATAGTTAATTCTATGAAATTCTAAACAAAATTGCTTCAAAATCTTTTCAAATGATACGTTTTAAGGATCAGTGATATGAACAATTAGTTTTTTTTTTTAACACAGTACTACTATAATTTACGATTGTGCATTGAACCTAATCTTACACTTGCAATGTAGTGGTAACAGAGAGAGTGACTTTGTTTCCTCAAGGCAGAAGAAAATCAAACCCTGTGTTGAATTACAATTGGTGGGAAAAGGCTATCCCATTCTCATATTAGGTCTTGTGATTTTCTTTTCTATATAATTCTCTCTCTCTCTCTCTCTCTCTCTCTCTCTCTCTATTCATCTCTCACTTGTACTCTTAATTTTCCTATCCCTTGTACATGTAGTTCTCCCTTTTTTTATTTAACTTTGGGGTTTGTGTGTTTTACCATCTAGGCTCTCCTTTGCTCCTTTTAGAAACCCTCATTTGTCATTTAATAATCACTTCTCCTTAAGCATCTAAAGTTAGACGTTTCTTTATTCATAGTTAATGCTCCAGGGCTGTATTATTAAAGAATCATGTCTATTTTGGTCATAATCTTATGAACATCTAGGAGAAAGAAACCCAATGACCTTTGCAATGTTTATTTATGTATTGCAGTTTGATAAAGCTGTGATTCATGTGATTATGATGTCTTATATCAGACGCGCATCGATACCAAGGCTTTGTTCCCACTTGAAGATTCTTTGTGATTAACTATCTCCTAGGGAAAATATTTAAATGGGTAAACCTCATGTACATCATAGAGATTTCCAAGTGTCACGTTGGAACACGCAATCAGCGGTTTTATCAAAATATCCTTTTTTCTTTCATTAAACTAGGAACTAAATAAAGCGAATTATAGCGTGTACTTGTGACAGAGAGGGAGGAAGAGAGAGAGAGAGAGAGAGAGAGAGAGAGAGAGAGAGATGTACAGACTGCCTGAAGGCATTCTGTTTTTTTTTATATTGTACATATTGAATTAATGAAATTTTGTGAGAAACAGAAACAGTCTTAAGAATGTTGAATGCTGTGTTTAAGAAAACAAGTGCGGAACGTATTTGTGTTGCTTGTGGAAAGTGTGAGAATAATGAAATTGTGCAGAAGATTGGTCATTCCTATTGTGCTTTGGCATTTTCGACAATCATTTATGCTCAAATGGGACAAACCCTTCTTGATAAGAGATCAATGATTTCTAAATTGATTACCAAATTTGGTTTTAAAATGTTATTTGCAGCATCAAAATCAATCAGTTTTTCCCCTTTGAAATCTCGAAATGAAATAAATGGCAGTCTTAACATTTTCAATTCTCTCAAGGTCAAATTAAGTTCACAGTTGCAATGCCTCTGTAAATTATATTTGCAAAGCAAAACTGTAATTCAGGGCCTTGTCTTTTGAAGAGTTGCGATTGATCCAAATCAATCGCAGATCCTCTAATCAATAGCAAGTTTGCAGTCCCCTTTTTCTAATGTTCATTCTTGCGATTAATGTCATCTGTTTATAAGATGTGGCCCAGGTCTGCAGATAATACATTCTAGTATACTTGAAAAGTCGGGGATGTTTTTTTTTTTTTGGGGGGGGGGGGGGGAGGGGTGGGTTGGCTTCCTGACAGAATTATGAGTTGAACTACCGTATGCTCTGCACCCTAAAATCTCAACTTGATTTCAAAGGTAACAGGAAATTATCTATCTAATCGCCTCATGGGGCAACTAAGAAGCAAAAGAGTCATGTGAATGTTGGTATAAGATTGCGAACGGTGGCACATCCAGGATTCTTTGACCAAGGGGTGGGGGTGGTAATGACATTGTCAGCACATTTTGTAATTTTGTGCAACTATGTACATGTACATGTATTAGGTTGATGTGCATTAAACGTATGGTTGATCTTGTATGATGGGCTCGCAGGACACATTGGTAGAAGATTGCTGTCCAGGGCAGAAGGGGGGGGGGGGGTTTACATGTATTACACCAAAACAATTATTACAAAAAACTCTTTATGTGTATCAGAGGTACATGTGTGATAGATGGGTGGGGGGGGGGGCAGGGGTCATGTGCCCTCGTATAATGGTGGATCTAGGATGAGGGGTGGGGGGACACTACCAATAATACAAAGATTTTACATATTTAGTGGATATTGTGCAACTTCTACAGTTCGATACAGTATTATAAATTAGGGCAGATTGAGGGGGCACAAGGGGCACATTCCCACCCGCCCCATGGATACGCCATTGCCTGATTGAATAGCCGGAGTTTGGAAATAAGTGCAGAAAATAGCATGTGGATTATAGCATGACTGAATGTGGAAGCTGAAGGTGGCTGTACTCTAGGGACTGAGTTGCAGACAGCGGTAAATGAGATGAAATGATAGATCCAATCTTCAAGCTTTATAGCTACGGGAATGTTATGGTTTCTTCTTCTTCCATCCTGTGGTGAAGATTGATGCTTCAATAGAGGGCCATTCAGAAAACACAATCTTGCTCTCCCATGTTCTGTGTTTGTCTGTCTGTCTCTCTCTCTTTCTCTCTATCATTCCCTCTCTCTTTCTCTCTCTCTCTCTCATTCTCTGTATATGCCTCTTTTTTTCCTTTCTATCTATTCCTCTGTTTATATGTCTGTTTGTATCTTTCTCTCTCTGTGTCTCTCATCCTCTTACAGCTATGCCCTGTCTCTGTCCAGCCCTCTCCCCTATGTCCTGTTTATCCTTTTCTCTCTTCCTCCTCATCCCTCTCCTCTGTCTCTGCCTACCCTTCCCTCTCCCTCTCTCTCTCTCTCTCCTCCCCTCCCTACCACTCTTCCTTTCTCTTCCTCTCCATCTATCACTCTATGCCTCACTTTCCCTCTACACCTCTCCTTTCTCTCTGTGTCCCTCTCCCCCTCTCTTGGTCTTTGTTTCTCTCTGTCTCCGTCTACACGTATCTCTTCGTCTACACGTATCTCTTCTGTCCCTCTACACCTCTCTGTCATTCTCCTATCTGTTTGTCTCTCTCTCTCTCATCCCTTTCTACTCTTCCACCTTCCCCCTCCCCACTCTCTCTCTCTCTCTCTCCCTTTGCTGTTTCTCTCATAATTCGTTACTTTGAATTTTCACACCTGTATTCTTTTAGTTTTCATGCAGTACTTAATATGAAGAGGATATCTACTGATCTTTTGTTTTTCATTTATTTATTCCCGTTTATCCATATTTTTATTCTCTCTCCTTTCCCCTGCCCTCCACCCCTCTCTCCATCCCCCCTCCCCCCTCCCCCCAAAATAAAGAATTTTTCTCTCCCTCTATCTGGTGCTCTGTCTGGATGGCAAAAATGAGTACGATGAGGGGTGTACGTAGGTAGGGATTCTAGGGAAGGTGTAAAACACACCCCTCTCTGTTCAGGTCAAGCCCTGCAGACTAAGCTTCAAGCTCTAGAGCAGGAAATCAGTCTTGATAGGTCGATGATTTGGAGTGAATCATTGGGGATTGGGAGGAGGGAGGGGTGAAGGGGCGGAGTCCATAACATGTGATTGTGGTCATCGCTTTTAATCTTGATCGACAGATTAGGTTCATGTTATGGTTCATTCAAAATGATCAATAACACAGCGGCAGTAAAAAGCCAGTTGCAAGATATCGTCGTCGATGTGCATAGGTTATAATGAATTTATGGGGAAATTACAATGCACTTTTTGTAATTCAAACATCAAGTTCTGTGTTGAAATAGTAAAAACCACACCTTAAACTTGATATTTTGTAAATACTTATGAGCAATCCTTTATTTATTTAAGGGCAGAAAAAATCAAGGCACTATATATGAGAAGTATATCCGAAAGCTCTTGGAGACAGCTTCAAGGTATTGAGTGCTATATAAATGCAAAATATTATTATTATTATTCAATTTGTTTCTGTTATATATAAGCAACAAACACAAATTAAGCTCCAGGCACCTTCAGACTTAATTGTCTTATCCATCTAAGACCAAGATATCTGAGGATTATTTATTTCTTATCCAAGGTTTATTTAATCAATGAAAATATCAGAAGGATAAATAAAGCATTGCCCAACAAACAGACATTATTAAATTCAACATATGAACCCCTCTCTCTCTCCACACACAAAAAAATAAAAAAAATAAAAAGACAAAAGTTATGACTCACACATATATCCATCTACTGTCTATTCTTTTTCAAGTGTATTCATTTACAAATCATTAATATTCATTAGCAGTTATCATCAATTATCCCAATTTAGAAAAATTCTTTTTTCCAAATGTATTAAAACATAACCTTAACGTATTCTCTGTAATATTCCTCTTAAGTAGCTTAATTTGGATTTCATAGTAATGGCTCTTTTAAGGAGAAATTATCGAGGGAACACTTATTGTTGCAAAGACTTGTCATTCATTGTCAATGAAGGCAGGAGGAAGCTAGCTCATCGTTTCTCCGTCTTATTCTCTGCAAGAAATTCTCATCAGCTGTTACGGAATGACATTGTCGGGACGTGACAGCCCTCTAGGGTTACATCTCATCCGTCGGCAGGGGGTATAGAGAATCATTAACCCCGACAATACCAAGCCCTTAATCCCTGTACACAAATATACTGTGCTCTCTCAAACCTGGACTGTGAAGGCTTAAGCTTGCTCCTGTTTATGGCTTTCTAGAGTTTCAAGCCGGCTAAATCAACCGATAACTTTATACCGAAATTGTAAGAAATATCTTCCAGATTTACAATGTAGGTCGCTGAAATGGAGATTATCTCAATTTAGATCAGGTGGGATATATTTTCAACAGAATCAAGGGTTGTACTAGTAACTTCCTTCTGCTTTTATTTAGCTATACCTGATGTTTTATTGTTCAAGTTTTATCTTGTGAGCTACTTAAAATCAGAAATAAAGAATTTCTGTGATCAGATTTACATACCTTAAATTATTAGTAACTAAAGACGATCTTATATTTAATAATTAAACTTTAAAAAACAATAATATTAAGCAGATGAAAACACTTTTAAATATGCCAAAGCATGGTACCGGTACTCCATTTGCCATATAGTTTCTACAGTACCACCCACTTCAATGAACCATTTGTATGAAAAGAATATGTGTTAACTGAAAAAAACAACTTGTAACAGTATTACTCCTTGAAACATGCAGTGAAGAGAAGCTTATGTAAAGACCACCTGCCTATGAAGACAACTTCTTTTTGTCTTCCTTGATTGGGCAGCTAGTCTATCTAAAAAAGTTTAATAAGAATAACCTAGGCTTGTATAGCGCATTTCGTCTTCAGAAAAAATAACAATGCGCTTTGATTGTATTTATTTTTATAGTGTGCCAAGAAGCAAAGCAGAGTCACTCAGGTTAAATCAGCAGGTAGCCATGTGAGTGTGGAGCAGAAGAAAGCCATCTATGAAAACCACCAGACTAACATCAAGGCTTGGAAGAAACGAAAGAGAATGGTAAGCATTTATCAGGATATTGATTAAGATAGTCCAGTTTGAATGCTTCTGGGTTTAAGTGACTCGGTAACATTGCCTCAGATTCTGATACAAAATCCTGGATTTAGCTCATGCTGCAATGATAATTATAAACCTTTAGGTCAGTCAGGAACCCCATGACTTTTACAATCAAGATAATTATGATTGAAAAATCAAATTTTGTGTTTTCCAAACGGTTTTTATAACACTACAGTCTAGGGGGGGAAATAAGTACCGGTATGGTAAAACTGGTCACTCAAAGATTTTTTAATTTTTTGAGGTACTTCATGATCATTTTAAAGCACAATTTTGTTAATGCTTCAATATTTCACCTTATCACAGACACTGATAACACGTATAGGACCGTGCATTTCAGATTTAACATTGTTAATAAACGATGCCTTTAAGAGTAGGTGGGAGTGATGAAAATGGAGGAGTGGGAGGGGGGGGGGGGTCATAGTTTCTCGGGTCAATTTATCCGATAGCCATGTTAGAGTTGAGCAGAAGAAAACTGAAAACCATCAAACTACTATCAAGGCTTGGAAGAAAAGAAGTTTTGATGGTATTTCACTTTGATATTTGATGTCTTCTTATATTACTTACTGCTTTGGTAGAGAGAGGGGGGGGGGGGGCAAAAGAATAGGAGAGAGGTGAGAAATTTAATAAGAGAGATCTTTAGACAAAGACAAGGAAAGGGATAATAGAGCAAGAAAGAGAGAGGGAGAGAGAGTGAGATGAATAATTAAGAAAGTTTGTCACATGGGCAATGATGTGAAGGAGCGAAATTTCATTTTTTATTGGACACATGATGGTGCTGTTGCAAGTTGATATTTATATACTTTTTGCTGACTTTTTCTCTCCCAATCTCTTTCTTTAGAAGTGATTTGAAATCAACTACACTTCTAAATAAGTTGAGAAGAAAATATGTGGAAAGATTTGGAATAAAAATGTAATTAAACTGGGAGTAAAAAGGTATGATTATATTAAAATGCAGTGTGCTTTTGTAAATTTTGTTGGTTGGAGACGGAATGCTGATGGCATATACATTATTATTTTTTTTTTAATTATTTTTTACAGGCAATGGACATTCTTGATGCTATTCTAGAGGGGTATCCTAAAAGCAAGAAACAGTTGGTGGTAAGAATATCTCTCTGTCTTTCTATTTCTTACATTTTATATTTGTCTTTTCTACATGTACACATGTAATTCCTATTTTTGCTTCTCTTTCTGCTTCTCTATTGCATACTTTTTCTCTTCATATATGCATGTATGTCTTCATGCCCCCTCAATTATCTCTCTCTCTCTCTCTCTCTTTCTCTCACACACACACACACACACACACACACACACACACACACACACACACACACATTTCCCCCCTTTTTTCCATCTCCCCCCCCCCCATTTTTTCATTTCCCCCCCCCCATCTTTTTTTCATACCACTTCTTCCTTGCCAACTCATTCTTTAGATTTAGATTTTGTGTTTATCTGCCCCCCCCCCCTCCTCTGCCATTCTGTTGACAGAGGGTTGTGAACAATAATGTGATTATTTTAAACCTGTTTGAAATCACACTTGATTGGTGATGTGGTTATCAGTGGTAAATCTTCTACCAATGTCCTTTGGCAAGACATTTGCCACACTCAACCCAGGTGAGGTAAATAGGCACCTGGTAGGATTATTCCTTGAAATGCACTGTGCGCTGTTAACGGCTGCCGCAGCTAAAGCAAGGGTAATCATTTCCAAAGCTCTTTTGATGCACGTCGAGATGTTATTTCATAACGTATTATGCGTTATACAAGAACTGAATATTATTATTATTATTTATTTTAGTTGTTTCATCTCTTTCATTTCACTCTTTATTATATCCTTTTTTCTTTTATTTGACAGGAGGAAGTGGGAGTAGAGACAGACGAGGAATGCAATGTAAAGATACCACAGACGTAGTCCACCTTTGAACTGCAAAGACTTTCAATCAACTCCATCTGATAAGCACGAACTGAGCCCTCTGTCTCATGTACTCTAAAATTGTGGCCTACAACTGCTCCCACAATGCAACAGTGATGATGTCATTCAGATCATGCTTTGTTTTTGGTGTTTTTTCCCCTTCCTGCTGCCTGTTATATCTTAGCCAGCTAATGTACATGTAATTTGTCTCGGTGTAGGATCCCTATAGAGTCCAAGCGCTAATTAAAGAATATTAAAGAGAAGGTTGAGTTCTAGGAAGAGGTGAAAAATAGTTGGTGAGCATTATCATTGTTATTATGCAAGTATGGAAGAACAACAGATAAAACATGTTCCCTGAAAAGCATGGCTCTTCAGATGCCTTCATATTCTAAATATGAGTTGTAACAGCCTAAAAATCGGGACAAATTTTTATGCCACATGTTCATGTAGTCCCATATACATATTTCTGTGTAGAGTGCTTGTAACTTTACCAAGACTGTGTAAAATTTCTTATCATGTAGATGTTTCCAGAACCTTGCAGTACACATCAATACTTATACGCTAGATGGTCAACCTTTTCTGATCGACTACACACTGTTTCTTTCACAATGCAACCGCATGACCAGAACTCAACTTTATCTTTAAAAGATGACATGTTTAGGATTCAGGAATGGGAAGCGTAGAATGCCTTACGCCATTATATTTAAAAAACAGCGGTTCGCCATGGCAAATCTGAATGAGGCTTAAAGAGTGCACTAGCAGGAAATAAATTTAGTGCAGGGCCAAGTAAAACACAAAGACTAGCAGTTGGTTGTACGATTGATCGATCGATCATACATCATGGTCAATTGCAAAATAGCAGTCAATTGCTAATAGCTCTATGATTTATGGAGCACCAGATTTTAACCTCTTCATCTTGTCAAATTACCATAAATTTGTAACTGAATAACCACAAATTTATTGTCATGGAATCAATTTCTCATGTTCATATCACGACTGGATTCTATCTATGTGTTTTGAGCCCAACACTTGGCACTCCATACATTAGAGTACTTAGGTTAAACCAGTTTTGAATTAATGTATACGGTAAGCCAATATTTTTGCGTGAAGATATTTCACAGCTCAAGGGTTCAAAGACTAATTCGAGAGATGTTAAATTCATGTGAAGCCACAACCAAAACAAGTTACTTATATACTTTTCAATAATTCTCATTCTTTTTCTTTGGATCATGAATACTGAGTATCACAATCCCAATGTAAGAATTATTGGAGAAATTCAAAAAAAAATCTATTGAAGTGCCCATTACTATCTGTTTGGTCTCAAACTGTGCTGCATGACCCAGTGACGGCTCGTACTATAGTACTATAGTACGGTATATATACACAACGTAAGACATGCAACACAACTATTTTAGTGGTTTGGAGAGCGACATTACACGCTGGAAAATTTTTTGAATGTTGTTGGATTCGCCATTTACGAGGGTGTCGCCAATATTTTGCGAAAGTAAAACCCCAGGGAAAATAACTTTAGTCCCCCATTATGACTATGAGCCTATTTAAAATAGGAACTAATGGAACAAATGAGGGCTCGCAGCTTGCTCTCAGTTTTATTTTTCAATTGTCACTGGTAGGTAGGAAAAATTGCACATTTATTCTTTATCTAAATAATTATCAGTGAGCAATGCATATATGTTATATGTAAATTGATCGTTTATCTACTTGCATGATATAGATTTGCACTGATTTGTACATAGATGTAATTAAAGAAATTTTTACAATTTATCTTACTTTTAAGTGAAAAGTTTGTTGTTATTACTTTATCTTTTAGTGACTTGGATAATGTGCTTTAAATTTCGAAGCAGGCATGACTGTATACAGTAATACAGGGTGTCCCAAAAAAGTTTACAGCTGGAAAAAGTCTCCCCAAATCAACAATAATTCAAATTGTTTTGAAATTTTTGTTTGTTTAGATGCACTGTAGAATTATATACATGAAGCAATAGTTTCCGAGGGTGATGTAACTTGTTGAAGCCATATGACCATGAGGGTGTATGATAGAGATTGGATTCTGTAACTTTTACTTTCTTCTTTCTCAGCTTCACTGTCAATTTGGTTCCAAGTGTCTAGAATCTCACTGAATGAATCCATATATTATATATAAGAACAGCTACTTTACAAACAAAAAAAGGTGACAGTTCTTGTTCCTTGAACTGCTGGCATGCTGCACAGGGAGAATAAATCTCACTATCACTCTCTATGGTTGGTACACCAATAATTATATGGCTTAAAAAATGAGCAATCAATTTGGCAGAATAGGTCTCTCTCTCTCTCTCTTCTCCTCTCTCTCTCTCTCTTCTCCTCTCTCTCTTCTCCTCTCTCTCTCTTTCATCTCTCTCTCTCTCTCTTTCATCTCTCTCTCTCTTTCATCTCTCTCTCTCTCTTTCATCTCTCTCTCTCTTTCATCTCTCTCTCTCTCTTTCATCTCTCTCTCTCTCTCTTTCATCTCTCTCTCTCTTTCATCTCTCTCTCTCTCTTTCATCTCTCTCTCTCTTTCATCTCTCTCTCTCTTTCATCTCTCTCTCTCTCTCTCTTTCATCTCTCTCTCTCTTTCATCTCTCTCTCTCTTTCATCTCTCTCTCTCTCTTTCATCTCTCTCTCTCTCTTTCATCTCTCTCTCTCTTTCATCTCTCTCTCTCTTTCATCTCTCTCTCTTTCATCTCTCTCTCTCTTTCATCTCTCTCTCTCTTTCATCTCTCTCTCTCTTTCATCTCTCTCTCTCTTTCATCTCTCTCTCTCTTTCATCTCTCTCTCTCTTTCATCTCTCTCTCTCTCTTTCATCTCTCTCTCTCTTTCATCTCTCTCTCTCTTTCATCTCTCTCTCTCTTTCATCTCTCTCTCTCTTTCATCTCTCTCTCTCTCTTTCATCTCTCTCTCTCTTTCATCTCTCTCTAACTTTCTCTCTTTCACTCAATATATAAAGTTAACTCTGCAAAAGTCAAGTCTGTTGGGACTGCCATTTTTGGGGTATTTGATCAAATTCTGACTTAAGCCTCTGTCACAAATGCCATTATGAACTGCCGTACGAACGACTTTCATACAATGGAAATTTGGGAAGTCAATGGAAAAACGGGGAGATTCGTACGAAATTATCGTTTGTACGAACCTTTGTGACCGTAGCATTACATGCAGGAAGGGTAAATAACAAATTTTTTGCAAAGTGTGGTTGACAAAATTATTTGACTTGGGCTATGCAGAGTTAATCTTCGATTAATATCAATGATTATAATACAATCACTCCTCACTATAACATCCAGTAACAACAGCAAAATATAAAAATTACACAAAATAAATCACAAATGCCTTTGTGTTGAATTGCACCATAATCTTTAATTTGAAATGTGGTCCTAGTTCACTTAATGGACCAATGAGCTACATACAATCTTAACATTCAAACATTATTTTTTTTTTGTGTGTGGTAAACTTCTTCACTTTTCTTCAAAAAAACAACCGAAGAAGCTTCTTGTGGATTTGTTTTTTGTGTGTGGACAGTGTAATAATAATATACTCATCATAATCATATAATTCGACACATTCAAAATGTTACCATTTATATTAACTGCATGGAAATATCTGTACATGGAGGGGGGATCTACACTTCAAAGCTGCATAACTCGACCCCTCTCCTACCCCTTTCTATCTCCCCCATCGCCCTTAACCCGACGACTACTGAATTTTCAAATACCCATAGGCTTACTACAGAGACCTCCTGATTCCGGCAGGCAATGGTTTAACTCTATAGGTGATTTTCTTTTGTGGGAATGAATGTAAAGCTAAGAGTATAGGTTTTTTATGCACTCTTTTTTTTGGTGAGCACAATTTGATTTCTAAAATTGAAACCTTGTCAGAATGGATAATTACTTTATTTTATCAATGATCATAACCAGTTCAATTTCACACCTTTTTTTTGAGCCAACGTCTCCATTGAATAACATCTTGTGAAAAGTCAGTGTCATCACGTGGAATAATCTCAGTCCCACGTATTGATTTTCTTGTCAGGTTTTGAAGGGGTAGGAGGGGGTAATTACACTGCTCTGAAGGTTAACATGTTATAAAAATTCAAAAATTCTTTTTGCAAATGTTTACAAGTACACATACAATTTTTTTAAAGCACATAACTTTACTTTACCGGGAGCATTATTTTTTTTGTGGATTTTATAATATATTTTTTTGCATAATAATATAAGAAACAAATATTCATCTCTTTTCATAAGAATGTTACACGATTAGGATATTGTTATACATAAACAACGTACATATTCAGCATATTCAATGCAAATTTAATTGTGAAATGTGAACAACTTTGGTGCATGTACAAAAAAAATTGTGCACCTCGTACATATACAAGCATGTCAAATTTTATCAAATGCCAACGTTCCATAGACGCACAAAATGATGGCTTAAAGAGCGTTTCAACGCGAAATAAATCACAATGAACGAAAAGTGCCTTCCCACTTTCGTAGTACGTCCCGAAAACTCCTTACAAGAAATATCATAATTTCAACAACAAATAATGAAAAAGGACATTAAACAATTTAATACTGTGTTTGAACAACTACATGTACTACACATAGTGGCTTACAACTTTTTTTTGTTGTCAGAATAGAAATATTGATATAGATATGAAATGAAAGAAGCTTGCAAATTACATGTACATCATACAGGGCTTTTAATGCAGCATGCTTTTAATATAAAGTGTTCATTACTTAAAGCAAAAGCCATCAATCTTTTCTACAATACATACCTTTTCATCCAAGAGAGTGTTATGTCATTTACCGTAAATGGGAAAACACACTAATAATAGATAATGATGGGGTGGGGGGGGGGATTCTCTTTTATGAACCATTTTCTAACCAGTATTCATACTTCTTGCTATCGTAGAGGGAATTTACATGGCGTTTTGCATGTATTTTGCTGTTGATATATGGGGTATGCCTCTGGCAAAAATGTAGTATTTTGAAGCTGAATCGTAATTACCCTGATGTTACCAACACACTTGAACAAATAAGAAGTGAAAAAAAAAAAAAAATGCCGTCCCAAAATCGTCTTCAATATCATATATGTCCATGTATCAAAATACTTGTACATATCTTTTGAGAGTAACCAATAAGTTTGAAGTGTTAGAGCTGAAATTTTGCAAATAACATGTGTCAATAGCATAAACTACTCTTTTTCCCCTAAAGTTTACAAATTCAATTACAGAACTGCCTACTTGATTTCCATTATTCATAATTAAAACAACAAAGTTAAAGGCATGCTCTTGCATCAAACGAGAACACAAAAACTGGACCCTTAATTTCTCAGGTAAAAAAAAATTTGTTCTAGAAGTTTGACAAAATCAATAAAAAGTTAAACGCAAAGCTGCTGTAAAAGATACAATGATGAATAGTCTGTGAAATTAGCTAATTTTAATAATAGCAAAACAAACGGTGAGTTTTCTCAACAATCAAAAACAAAATAAAACTTGTTTCATCATTCATCAAAAAATAAGTCTTCACATATTTGTTCTGCAGTAGATCTACATTTGATAAGCAATTTGTTGTAAAGCAAGCATTCAATATCAAGAAATTACAAATACAACAACATGTAAAATTGTAGATTGGAACATTCACATCGACATGGATATATTTTGCTGTATTTCTATGAGAAGCAACATATAATCAAATATCTAGATTCACACATAGTATTACAGTTTAGATCTACCTTCCATGAGGCCAACTCGCCTATTCTTTTTCAATTTAATCACACTGAATGCCATTAATAATCCAATGATTGTAATTCTTGTCAAATACATATATGGTATTAAATCAGGTCAATTGTACATAAAGAAAGATGGGGGGGGGGGGGGTAAATCAGTTTTTACCTTGGGTAGATACAGGTTTGTGTAGAAAGATCTTTTACAAGCCTTATCTTCTTGACTCAGTTTTCTGATTTAAGGATTTTAAAACTTATTTTCCTTTTTTTAAAATTTCAAGCATCAAATGCACTATAGTCATGAAACAAAAATGGTTGCTGTATGTGCAGCACATTTTGCCCTTTCTACTTGTGTATCTGGTATATTTCTTAGGGCTCTGAATCGAAAGGTATTGTGGAATAATTTTAACAGAAGGGTTAAAATCAACCTCATGTTAATTCTTACATCAAAATACAGCAACTTCTCTTTGCCCTTTGGTCCTGTTTTGTGATTAGAAGCTAACCATTTGGTCCATTTCACATCCTAAATAAAAACCAGAAGTTTTGCAAGCACACATCTTACCCTACATCTCATGAAAACGTGAGAGAAAGCCAAACTGCCTAATACTATAACAAATAATGCCTACATCTATATGGTACATATTTTTATGGGCTTCTTTTTTTAAACTTAAAAAAAAATCTTTTAAATATACGAAAAGGACTATTTACACAAAGCTCATGAAGTAGAAGAACTACCACAAGCTGTCTATTTGGGCACCGAAGGGTGTGTAATTAAGGTTTGAAACAGGTAGAAATATATGTGTATCAAGCAAGAAAGAAGAGAATGTAAGAGAAGCAGAGAGAGAGAGAGAGAGAGATGGAGTTAGAAAGAGAGAGAGAGAGATGGAGACAGAAAGAGAGAGAGAGAGAGAGAGAGAGAGAGAGAGAGAGAGGGGGGGGGGGAGAGATGGAGATAGAGAGAGAGGGGGGGGGGGGGGAAGAGAGAGATGGAGCTAGGAAGAGAGAGATAGAGTGGGAGGGAGGGAGGGAGGGAGAGAAAAAAGAGACCAAGGAAAAGAGATATTTGAGGGGATATGAAACATGGTCGGATTTTTAAAGTTAAGTAGGAGGGACTAAAGACTTTGAATAAGATCCTTAAATTCTTCTCTGTAGCTCAAACAATGCATCCATATGACACTCTAAGCAAGAAAAGAGAACTTGTCTCATTGTATTCTTACATGTAGTCATACATGCAAAGAACTTTGACTACAAGATCTATTATCAATATTGAGCTGTGCATAGCTTAAAAACAGAGTGCCTCCGCTTGAAGGTATAACACTGGACTTCCACCTTAAAAAAACAGAAGACAAATATAACATTGGAGGAAGTTGATATCTTGCATTATCAAGCCCATTCCCTCTTTCTGTTTAAATCATGTCCAGAATTGAGAAAGGGCTAAATAACCCCATGTCCCTCGGATAGGACCTAGAGCCATTGGTGGATGACAAATATTCACGGTTTCTATACTATCCCACAAAAAATAAACAACCTCGTTTCTTACACTGCTAAATACACATGGGTCCAATTAAAATAAACACATTTATAGCACCACAACACTCACTTTATATCAACATTTCAATGGACATTGCAGAGTTCAGGTGCTATATTTTCTTATATCAATGTAGTTGGTATCACATATTTATAGACAGAGAAATATATTACAAATGATACAAAATGACCAAATAAATGACTTGCCACATAAGTCCCTGCGTTCAGTTGGTGTGTTGTTTTTGTACATGTAGTTCCCTTCATATGAACTTTAGGGGCTACATAACATCTTTATCCTCGTGCGAGTATCTTCACGTACCCTGGGAAATTTATCAAAGCTATTTTAAATATCATGAGACACGATAGAACAATGGTGATAGAAACAACAAGAGTTGGTAATGCCAATGATATGTGAAAGACCACACAGTGCCCTTGTATGCTGTGTCTTGACAAAGAGCTCACATGGGGTGTTTCCCAAAGATCCTCAGTCAAAATTAACTCTAAGTTGGACTTAAACATTATGGAGAGCCATTTGAAGCCTTAAAATAAGATATGATCAAAGCAAAAATTCAATTATTTTAGACTTTTCATACATGAAGAACATGAAATCTCCTTGATAATAAAAAATATGAATGATTTGAATCAACATTTTATGCCTTTAAAATAAATTTTAAGTCCAACTTAGGATCTTTATGAAACACCCACAGGATCATATTCTGAAAATTGTTGTCTTGTGATTAGGGCATATTGTGTACTGAGAAAGAGCACACATACCAGGATCATGTTCTGAAACTTTCATGTTATGGAAAACGATGTTGATCGTCAAAACGGACTGAACTTGTGCAGAATTAACCCTAATCATCAGTGCGTGCGCAGATGTCCCTTTGAAATGTATGCGAATGTAGCCAGCTTTGTGCAGATATTAACCACATACAATTTACATTGTTTTACTAAGATAAAAGATGGCATTGTTTTCAGAATACCACTCCAGGACGAAAGTACAGATGGACAATCACCTTTTTTTTTGGGGGGGGGGGGGGGGGGGGGGGGGTAACACCATGTACAACACAGGGTGCTAAAGTTAAAAAGAAGCACATTTATACACAAGTTCACTTGGTGATACCTCTAATATCTACCCTTTAACTGCCATTTACCGTGATATCCCAATAACATGAGAACCATTACACCGACACTGATGCAGCTGGAGTGATCCCAGGCGACAGTGAACAAAGATAGTTGATACAAAACAATGCGTTACGACACAAAGGTCCTCCATATTTATGCAAACAAAGCAAACATAGCTCTGGACAAGCCCCCCAAAGGATACACCCATCAACATTTGATATTAAATAAGCTTTGATAAATTTCTCAACTTATATTTGGATACACCCATAGACATATGATATTAAATAAGCTTTCATAAATTTCTCAACTTATATTTTTTTCTTTCATAATCCAAGTTCTATACACCCTTCAACCCTACCTGACCAACAAAGAGCGTTCACATTTACACTGGTTTGCTCCGGGCCCAAAGCAAGAAGTGCGTTATTCCAAACAAACCGATGGCACGTCCCCATGGACACCTTGTTTGTAAAACCGGACGGCTCCCCTGTGTAGACAGACCCTGTCATTTTTTTCTTGGTCACAAAATGTCTTTCAATCAAGACGTGGGTTTAGGAAAGAGTCTCAGACTGACTGTGTCCGTCTTGGTTTGTGGGTTCCTCTTCATTCCATGACTTTGGAGATGAAGTCTAAGAACCTCTTTGCATACTGTTCAGGTTTGACGGAGGATATTTCAGCACCAGCCTACCAAGGAAAGAGAGGGGGAAGATACAAGGGTACATTTAATGTAAACAAATAATTCTATTATGCAGTGTGAGTCAATAAAAAGGAAACACATATTCAAGCTAAAATTTCTTAGGAACCAAATAAAATTACTGAAATACATTATAATGGTTCGACAATGAGGCAGTGTAAGGCCAACATGAGGCTATGCCAATGAAGAAGATACTCTCTGCAACTGCGGAGAGACTCAGACGATGGACCACATCTTGCAGTGCGGCGGAACAGGTTGCACAGATGAAGACCTGGCCCTTGTAAACGAGAAGGCCATCGCAGCCATCAGGCGATGGAAGAACTTAATTTAATTTAATTTAATTTAGGAACTGTACATCAATCTTGATCTAAGGAGACACGAACGAACATCTGTTGGTTCAATGGGTGATAGTGCCTTCTTTAATTTGATAAGCTGCTCATCAAAATGCCATCATTTAGAGCTAAGAATGTCCTCTATTAAAAATAATTCCTTGCGACTCTTTACTGGTGTGTGGTTCATCATCACAAAGTTTTTGTTTCAATGATTTATACAATCTGGGTAGAACTCCTTTAAAGACAACCTTTACTGTTAAAAATGATTCCTGGTTTGTGGTTCTTCACAGTGACATCATTTTTAAATTCCAATAATTCATATTATAACCGAGTTAGTACTCACTCCATGTTTGACTGTCTTTGCAGCCTGTGCAGCCTTCTTCTTAGCACCCCAGTGGGTGAGGATATCAATCAGCGCCATGAAATAGATCAATTTCCTAGGGCATCCTGTAAAACAAAAGGGAAATTGGTGTGCTGAATATTTCATTGGTTGTATGATAAAATAATGACATTGCTATGGCCTTGTCTGTATCAGAAGAATATAAAAATTACAAAATACTATGAGAAAATCCAACATAAATAAGTACATATGGAGTGACATTTGAGAGGGATCATGAGTTTGCATTATGCTCATTTTGTCCAAGCAACTCACAAAATCCAAGTTGACTAAAAAAAAAAAAATAGTCCTAAATACCTACTGGGGAATGATTCACACTGCATCTGTATCTAAAGTGAGTAGACAAATTTCTGAAGGCTCCACTTCACATGATCTTCTGATTTCCATTTGTTTACGCCAAGGAGTGCCTTAGCCCACAGATCGATTAGATATGTAGGTTCTGACGTTTGGAACGCTTTGCCACCTGAAATACTAGCTTGTAGTAATCTTTTGTTATTTAAAAAGATACTGAAGGAATTATATCTCTCAAAATATGCTTGTTAACTTATGAGGTACACTTTTATAGTGCTAGTTTGTCAAGAAGAGGTAATGCGTATTTCCTTTTTTTTTCTTGTTATTCAAATATGTTAAGGGGCATGATTTTTTTTGTTTGTTGCAATGACAGAATGTCTTATTTTAAACCATGTTCTATCTATACCTAAGATTATCAACTATGTTATCTTAGGGACCTTGCACTTCAAACATTTTTTGTTTATGCACTGTTCCTACTCTGTATTATATCTCGATGTAACCCACTGGATTTTATTATTTGTAAACAATTATTTTACATGGTGAATAAATAAAATAAAAACAAACAAACTAAAAATCTTCTTTGAAGCATAGACTTACTCTCGTATCCTTTCACAGCGTAGACATCGATGCTGGGGTCATACTCCTCGATCATGACGTGCCTTGTCCTGGGCGTGAGGACGGGGCTGTCAGGAGGGGTGAGGCACTCGCCGCTGCCAGAGTCTTCCCCTTCCTCTTCAATGACTGCATCCCCGTTCTCCTGGCTGGCCGTCTCTGCATCGTCCTCCTCCCTGTCCTGCTCATACTTGTCCATGTCGTGGATGCCCACCAGGAGACTGTAGTCCATGATCTTCTGCTCCGACAGGAACTGCAGTCAACAAACAAAATGATAATATTTGTTATAATAGTGTAAATTTATAGAGCACACACACCATCCAGGGACACTAATGGCGATAGCTCAGCAACAGTTCTCTTTAATACAATTAAAGTAAATGTCATGGATGCCCACCAGGAGACTGTAGTCCATGATCTTCTGCTCAGACAGGAACTGCAGTCAACAAACAGAATGATTTTGTTTAATTTTTTTATTTAGTGGAATGGAAATGAACTTTGTTTCCATCAGCATCACAAACGTGGTGCTGGCGTAAATGGACACTAATGGCGATAGCTCAGCAACAGTTCTCTTTAATACAATTAAAGTAAATGTCATGGATGCCCACCAAGAGACTGTAGTCCATGATCTTCTGCTCAGACAGGAACTGCAGTCAACAAACAGAATGATTTTGTTTAATTTTTTTATTTAGTGGAATGGAAATGAACTTTGTTTCCATCAGCATCACAAACGTGGTGCTGGCGTAAATTACTAGGTTTGTCTCGGAAGGACAGAGTTTCGGATGAAGAGGTGTTGCATCGAGCTCAAGAAAAGCGGGTGCTGCTTCAAACGATTAGAGAGAGACAAAAGAAATGGCTTGGACACATAATGCGGCATGATGATGGGGGGAAGACCTCGTAATGGCTCTCTAGATGAGTTAATCACAGAATGTGGAGCAACAAGATATAAAAAGCTGAAACAGATGGCTCAAGACCGAGGTACTTGGAGAGACACTTGATGTAGAATTCTGATTGGGTCACTGAACCTGTCATACACTGACAGATCACTATTGATGATGATCACATTACATACAAAGATAAAAGATGGAATATTGTGACAGATTAAAATATAAAAATTACATGCAAACTGATATAAACCATCAAGACGTAAAGAAAATATAAAGAAAGTATGAACCATGACACAAATGGAAAATGGTGAATCTGTAGAAGCCAAGAAGGCTTGACAATTGCATTCTGAATTTTAAATGTGAAATGCTACAAATCATGTTCCTGAGCAGGATGGGCAAATCTTTATGTACAATCCAAGAGTCCAAGTCTCTTGCAGAAGTGATGCAGTTCATTAAGGAGAAATTTGTAGCAAAGGGTGACATTAAACTTACACACTGGCAATACACGATCACATTCACAATCCTTTTCATAAAGGTGGCAGGGACTTTTATATATATGCTTTCTAATGATACTTCAATTGTCTAATATGCTCAATTTCATGGCTGACATATTATTGCAAAATAGAAATGAGTTTTGTTTTAGTTGTCTATGTTTCTGTTCCTCGATTGATCAGCGTTTTTTTAAATGCCCAAATGAGAAAAGGTCCTGTGCAAATATTAAAATTTTCTCAAAAAGTGGCGTATAAAAGCCTTGGATATTTAGAATGCTTGATTCAAACTCTAAACGTTGAGTTCTTCGTGGAGTAACAGGGGATTGAAAAGACTGTTTGTTACAAAAAGGTGCCAACAGCACAGCAAGAATTCATCTAGAATGACAGATCAAACATTTATGATCATATTTACATCTGTATGATCTGACTTGAGTTTGCTAAGGATTTTATCCTTGTTCTGTTGTCATACGATTATCAAAATATTTTCACTAAGGAATCTCATTTAACCGTCATTGTCCTTGATTGATTCATTTAATCATTTATCGCAACCATGGGTTGGATTCCATACAAAGCGTCTATAAATCCCTTCATACTTACATCCGTGTCTGACTTGAGTTTGCTAAGGATTTTATCCTTGGTCTGTTGTCCTACGATTATCACAATATAATCACGCAGGAATCTCATATTACCTTCATTGTCTTTGATTTGATTTATTTAATCATTTATGGCAACCATTGGTTGGTGTGGTTGTCTTCAAAAATCTTTATATGAAGGAGTTTCGTCTAACAATACAATGCCCAACTGTTGATATTCACAAGGTCGATGAACATTAACACTGGAAACAATTTGCTAAAGTCCAACAAATTTCTATTTCTTTATTACATCCTGATGCAGTGACAGTTGGATTCCATACAAAGAGTGTATAAATCCCTTGATACTTACATCCGTGTCTGACTTGAGTTTGATAAGGATTTGATCCTTGGTCTGTTGTCCTACGATTATCCTTCTGTTGCCACTCAGGAAGTCAATGTCCTTGTAGGTGGGAAGATCTTTGGCCTGTCAGGAAGGAATACAAACAGGATGTCACACAATACCGTTTGATCTTAAAGAGAAGCTCCACAACTAGACAGGCAAAATGAGTTGTGTCAAGCGATTTTGTTCAGTTAAACATTCTACCCACTTATATGTATTAAATGCTTTGTATGGAGATTTCTGGACTGGGATAACTGTTTACACGTACCTTTGGTCAAAATTGAATGAAGTATGGTCTTGGGGCATTCTAGAGGGTTGATTTGTGAGCATACCGTAGAAGCCATTTGCAGGTTCAGAGTATGCCCTGACACATATGCAGTTAAAACAATCTGCATAGCTCAAGTCACAAAAGTAGGATTTTCCCTAGGTCCACTACCGGTATGCAGAATGTGTATTATTTACGCTTCCTAAGTCTAATTTTGCATAAGTCAAACTGTTTGCTGTGGTCTCAACAGATTCAACTTATGCAGGTTTAACTGTATTGACCTTGTTTGGAACCCTTGTCGAATGAGAATTTACCCTTGGTACATAATTTTTCTGAATTCAGCCGACCCTTGATACCAGCTTGGACCATGGTTGTACATTATTATCCCTCAAGGCAATCCAGGCTTAGCAGAATACATATAAGTAAATGATACTTCCCAGAATTCACATCATGATATAGGCCAGTGTCTTTCCAGTGTCGTTCCACAGAATATATATGAGTAAATGAAATTTGTGACTTTAAAATGTTTTGATTGTGTTCGTCGGAAGGAATGCATACTTAAAAGATTTCACGTCATGATATAGGTCAGTGTAATATTTTGGAGTCATAAAAAGTATAGTAAGCAAAGTGTTTACAATCTTTCAATGATTCTCTCAAAAAGGATTAATTCCAACTCGACACGTCGTTCGTTGTGTACCTTTTCTTTGTCGCTGGCTTGCCTGTCAATGAGGGAGCCCTTCAAGTCGTATTTTCTGTGGATGGGTAGCGTGTGACCGAATATACTCCTCATGATGACCATGTACGTCTCAGCGCCGTCTACCGTTAACCTGTACATGCCCAAGTACTGTGGTAACAACGTCTCGCCATGCTTCTCAACTATGTACTGTGATGGATAGCAAAGAGAAAATACATTTAAATTTAAAGGGAGTGTAGCTTGGTGAATACTGGTTAACGCCGTCTACGTCTTCTTTTGGAGTACTGCACGTATAGTAACCAAATGGTCTTGATTAATGGTAGTCAGTGACTTAATCTCTACATGGTCAGCGTTCACGAAACAGTCGATTGGCCCTAAGTCAGGCCGCGGGAAAGGCACATAGTCTCGTCAGGCTACACTCCCTTTAAAGAGATCCGGTAACTTTGTCTCAGATTCTGAAACAAAATTCTGGATTTAGCTCATGATGCAATGATAATTATAAACCTTTAGGTCAGTCAGGAACCCCATGACTTTTACAAGCCGATCGCCTGTCTGATTATCAAGATATTTATGATTAGAATTACAAAATTTGAAAACCGTTCGCCTGACGGTTTCATAGCACTACAGTCTACTGGGGAAAACGAGTATGGTAAAACCGGTCACTCAAAGATTTTTACTTTTTTGAGGTACTTCTTGATCATTTTAAAGCGCAATTTTTTTAGGGCTTCAATATTACACCATATCACAGACACTGATAACACGGAGGGCCGTGTATCTCAGATTTAACATTGTTAAACGATCCCTTTAAGTGAATAGTGTTCCATTGGTAATAAATACAAAATGGCTTGTAGTTGATGATTGTGGCATAGACTGCATGCTTTAAAATAAAGTGAATATGAACAAAAATGCTCTGTCATGATTTGTTAACCTCAAAGAATTATGAAGACCATTTTTGTTTCCTTTATTCATCTTCATCTAAACATAAAAGGTTCAGCTTTATTTCTGTGGAAAACATGTCAAACAATTTCAAAATTTGTTCCTCTTCAGCCATTGCTTTTAAGGTAGGTTTTCTGTTTATTTTAATGAATACCACAGCATTCGTATTCTTCTTCTTCCTTTTTAAAATCTGTCATTTAGCTTATTTGACATTGTAAGCAAATCCTGATACAAGTATCACTAAAAAACAAAATCTGGGTCTAGTTTATAAAGAGTTGCAATTGATCTAAATCAATCGCAAGTTTGCAGTCTCTTTAATATCTGTTTATGTACATAGTTGCTATTGATACGGCACGTTCTTGTTTTTGGTTGTCATTAAATTACTATATGTAAATATTATGACTATATTTCATTAATTTTCTTGTATTTTACTTTAAATATGACATAAGTCTCCAGATTTTTGCCATATTCTTTTTTTAATATAAAACCAAAATTGAAGTGAATTGAATTGGACAAGAAGAAAAACATGTTTCAAACCTGGTGGTATGGTGGCAGAATGTTATGCATGAGTTCAACCTCTTCTTTGGATATCGTCTTGACGACAAACTTCCCTTCGCTGGACCGGAGAAACTTTGCACCGCTCTTACCCGCAGAGTCATCGTAGATTGGTGATGAACATACAAAGGAATTCTGTGATTGTGAAAACAGAGTAAAAAAGAAGTTTCATGATCTACGGAAATCAATAAGTTACAAAAGAAACAGAAGCAGGATTTTACTTGTACATTGCCGTATGGTCAGTAGACATATCAATGTGTCAAATATGTTTGCAACTGATTGGAAACTTGATAGAAAAATCATCATTAGCCTCATTTACACGTTAAACGGTAATGTACCATCTAAAAGAAAGTAAAAAATGCCTCAGCAAATTGAAACCATTTGAGACGTAAGCCTCAAGGGCATGTGGGGGTAGACAAAAATAAGTCAATAATAGTTATGCAAAAACCAAGAAAACATATTTGGAATTTGCCTTTTTGCAAACTACACCTTCTTCCTGTCTGGTGTACAATTCCATAATTTTCATGCTCAAAACACTATTTCCTCTAGTATTTCCTGTCTTCACTGTAAACAGTCGTGTACAGAAACAACAAGCTTCAAAACAACGAGGAAGTCCAACCCTTACAATCTTCTTTGTCTATTGGACATGGCACAAAAATCTCTAGGACCGTCTCCTCTCACAGGAGGCTTGTACATATAATAAAAACAATGACTGAAAACAAAAGCTTAGTTTCTATGATAGCCATGTCTCATCTTTCATACTGGTTGTTACATGTAGATCCTCTTGAAAGAAAACAAAGAAAGATGAGAGATGTTTTTATATTGCCCACATGCATATTTAAAGTGATCGTTTAACAATGTTAAATCTGAGATACACGGCCCTACATGTTAATCAGTGTCTGTGATATGGTGTAATATTGAAGCCCTAAAAAAATTGTGCTTCAAAATGATCAAGAAGTGCCTCAAAAAAGTAAAAATCTTTGAGTGACAGGTTTTACCATACTCGTTTTCCCCAATAATCTGTAGTGTTATGAAAACTGTCAGGCGAACGGTTTTCAAAATTTGTAATTCCAATCATAAATATCTTGATAATCAGACAGGCGATCGGCTTGTAAAAGTAATGGGTTCCTGACTGACCTAAATATTTATAATTATCATTGCATCATGAGCTAAATCCAGAATTTTGTTTCGGAATCTGAGACAAAGTTACCGGATCCCTTTAATACACACTTGTATCTTGTCTGTATGAAGCCAGAGGAGCGTTAAAGGGGGTGTAGCATGACAAGACTTTGTGTCTTTCCCGTGGCCTGACTCGGTGCCAATCAGGTATAATAGGACTACGGACAACGCGACCGCAGTATTCACGTGCATGCAACATCGCGAATGCTAGCGCGTTGACCATTAATCAAGTCCATTCGTATACGTGCAGTTGTCCAAAAGAAGTCGTAGATGGTGTTAACCAGTATTTGCCATGCTACAACCCCTTTAACTTTAATTTTCCTCCATCAAACATATACTTTATAAAAAGTTTCCATACCAGATATTCATGGTCTGTGATACTGAAGAGAGTTCTGAGATTTCTGAAGACCTGCGGGCAGTACTCCTTGAACTTGAAATGACTTGGCAAATTTTCCCTGTCAAGAAAGCAAAGAGATGAAAGTGAAGGAAAGATACAGGCAAAAAATCCAGGAAATTTGATTCATGGAATATTTATGTTCTATTTTTACCTGAATGCTAAGAGTAAGGGGCATACAGTCCTTGTAAATAAGCAAATACAGGACCGCTGGCTGGGCGGTGGGGGTGGGGGGGGGGGGTCTACTTCCCAGGTGCCCTTGTGGTCTAAAACCTGAGAGAGATGGGGGGGCACAGAACATAATAATTTAAATGTAGAGGTGTCGTGGTCTAGTGGATAACTCAGTGGACTGTCAATCACATGGTTTGCTGTTCCAAGCCTGCCATGACACTAATGTCCTTTGGCAAGATATTAAACCTACATTTGTCACACGTGACCCAGGTGAGGTAAATAGGTACTTGGCAGGAATTCACTCCTTGGAACGCTAGAGCGTCATAATGGCAGCCGTGCTAAAGCCGGAGTATTAATTGTGGAGCGCCAGGAGTGTAAAATCTGACAGACTGAGCGCAATACAAGAACCCACTATTATTATTATTAATATGGCTCATGGGGGTGAACAGAACCCTAAACATGTACATGTATAGTAAATGTATGCCATATCATAATTCAAAGAGTGACAAGGGCCAGCTGCCCCCCCCCCTCCCCCAAAATGTACAATACATGTATCTACCATTGCCCTAGTACCATGTAGGGCAATTCCACGGTAACGGAAGGACACTCAGACAAGATTTTTGAACTTCAGGTTCATACTAAAAGAACTGTTTTATTAGTATAAGATGTGAAACAGTACAGATATAATACCTATATAAGTGCCTTTAATTCTCCCCCAAAAAATTGTCATTATAGTTAAGTAGTTTAAGAATGTGCATATTAATTATCTCGGTAACGGAAGGACATAAAAATGGACATGGTTTTTCCAGTTAATTAGTGTTTATCCAAACTTTGTGAAGTTGATGAAGCTTTCCACTTGACTGAAACACATTTTGTTCCCCATAGTTTAATACATACTAATAAAACATTTCTTTTCGTATGAACCTGAAGTTCAAAAATCTTGTCTGAGTGTCCTTCCGTTACCGTGGAATTGCCCTGTAGTACTTGTATGTACCATAAGCAGTAGGCTCCATTAAGAAGAGGATGTACAGGTACCGTCAATCTTTTTTTTTCTTCTTCCGGCCCCCAAAACCGGGGTGCGTCTTATACGCAGAGATTTACAGTACATTTACATGTACTTACTTGTTGAAGAGATGGTTGTCAATCTTGATCTTGCCGTTGGCTTTGAAGTCATCTGGCATCAACATGACAGGAATGCTTACATGGCTCAGCTCACTGATCTACATTGGATAAATCAAAGAAATAAGAAGAGACGTTTTAGATAACAAAAAGAAAAACTTCTAGAGGCAGTCAAGAAGAATGTAAAAACATTCAACATTGTTTTGTACTCAAGAAAATGTTGAATTGCCGTTCTAAATATTATGCTTTTTTTCTCTGTTCGGTACAGGTGTATGTGCTTGCAAATGTGACATGTCTACTTTCATACATATTGTATAATCGTGTACAATTACACCTTTTGAAGAAGCACCTACAGTTGTATAACATTAAACTTTACTATTGTTATTGCTGTAACTGTCACTATCTACATGTATGAGTCACTATAATAAATATCAACTTGTTATATTTTCATGAGTGAAAAGTTGGTTCAATGTTTTATGTCCCGTAGAAAACAACAATCATACAGATACCCAGTACACTTTGCAAAATTACAATATGTAGGTGATACCATCATTAACATGTAAAAGAAAAAGAACAATATTTATAGCACTAAAAGAATAACATAAATTGCTATTATTTCGAAGAAGAAAGCCGATTCTTTCAACACTTTGCAATAATCTATTTTGTTGATCAGGAACAACATCATGACGATTCTTTGTCTTCCATACTTCGATACAACACCATTAAACCAGGAAATAAGCAACACAGGAGGATGTTGGAGCCTTGGAGGCACCTAGGTCTTTTCCTGTTTATACCCCGGATTGGTGTTTCAAAATATCAAATCCTTTTGATTCTTTACTGGTCTTTGAAAACATGAAACCTTTTCCCCTTCTTCTACACGTAGTGTTTAATAAAATATGGAACCTTTCACTTCTTTATAGTTTGTATACGGTATACTTTACATACATGTAAGTTAAAAGAAATGTGAAAGGTTTCACAGTTCACCCACAGTTGTTCTTTAAAATACATGTACCAAAACCTTTATCTTTTTTTTCTTACACACAAGTCTTCTTCTCCCTTCTTTTACTGGTCTTTAAAATACAAAACCTTTCTCTTTTCTTCTTAATTGGTCTTTGAAGTACACGTATGAAACCTTTCTCTTTTTTATTCAAGATTATGAAACCTCTTCACCCCTCTTCTACAATAGTCTTTTAAAGAGAAGGTTGAGTTCTGGGAAGAGGTGAAAAATAATTTGTGAGCATTACTCATTCTTATTATGCAAGTGTGGAAGAACATCAGTTAAGACATGTTCCCTGAAAAGCATGGCTCTTCAAATGCCTTCATATTCTAAATACAATGTATGCATGTAACATCGTAAAAATCGGGGGCCGGCTTTTTACGCCACGTGTTAGTGTAGTCCCATATACATCTTTCTGTGCAAGTGTTTGTAACTTTACCAAGACTTGGCCACATTTCTTATCATTTTGATGATTCCAGAACCTTGCAATACACACAAATTCTTATATGCTAGATGATCAACCTTTTCTGGTCGGTTCCACACCGTTTCGTTCACAATGCAATCGCATGACCAGAACTCAACTTCATCTTTAACATGAAACCTTTCTCTTCTCTTCTTAACAGGTCTTTCAAAATATGAAACCTTTTCTATTTTTTTCTTCTCTCCTCTCGATCACTGGTCTTTCTAAATAAGTAAATATGAAAGCTTTGAACTCTTCTCATCTCCTCTTACTGTAGTCTTTGAAATCATGAAACCTTTCTCCTCTCTTCAAACGCCCGAGCCTCCTCCCTAAAACTGCTCTTTAGAAATATGCAACTCTTCTCTTTCTTTTCAAACACATGAATCATATCAAATTTTTTTTCTTCTCCCCTAACACACTGGTCATTAAAAAGAATCAAACCCTTTATAAATATTCTCTTGTCATCAACACACGACTCTCTTCAACATATGAAATATTTCTCTCTGCCCTAGCACACTGGTCTTTCAAATACAAAACGTTTTCTTTTCATCGACCAGATCTTTTGAGACAACTCTCTTTACTCTTTTGTATCAGTGACATAGAGGAGAAGAAGATAATGATTTAAATTTCAGTAGTCAACATGTTTACGAGTATGATAGGTTATAATGAAAATGAAACCATTTGAAACTCTTTGTGAGTATACATGAGTATATTACTGGATCTCATTGTATCCTGTACACACAAATGTATCTATAGTTCGTAGGTTTCATTACGTTTCTTTTGACACTTACTGCATAGCCCTTTCACTATCATAACTGTTCAAGGTAAATCATACTCTTTGTATACCAGTAATGTCTTCAAGTGCAAATAAAACTGGTTGAATTACAGGCCTATAAATCTTTGACCCCTTGAAACAAATCATTGGAAGTTACAACCTAAATGTAATTGGTTATTTGAAAGCAAATAACAGTTCCGCAACTGTCTATTTATACAACAGGCTTGTGGTTAATAATTTATATTATAATTTATTTTTGCTATAACTTTTGTTGTGCAGTACATGTGTGACGTGGATAATACACATGTACTGTACATGTGTATGCACATGAGTATGCAAGTAAAGATAATATTGGTACAATACATGTATGCCCGCATGCCTATCAGGCAACCCTATCAGGCAAAGTACATGTACTGTATACCCCCCCCCCCCCCCCAAAAAAAAAAAAAAAAAAAAAAAAAAGGATAGGTACTGGTAATGAAGATTTTAAAAAAAATCCTGATACTATGTTGTAGAATGATGTACAAGTACAATGTACATGTACATACATGTAGGTCACTCAATCTGATTTGCCGTCAATCTTAATTAAGAGGCTGGGAGCTGACATGTCAATCAAGTATACGGCTTTGAGGTTTGTTAATCAGTGAAACCAATGCATTCCAAAGCAGTGACTCTTTGACACATCATTCCTGTATTATATGCAATTGAATTAAATATGTACGATGTACTGTACATGTAGGCTTGTAAATACAGTTCAAAACATGCACCGTGCATCTCGATCAACATTTACCCATTATTAGACACCTTGAAAAAATAATTGCTCACTGTATGCTCTCTTAATTTTTTTTTCTCACTGCTTTATAATTATGTACCTGGTATACATGTATTGTACAATGTATATGTACATGTACATGTAGGCCTACTATACATCTGTAGTGCTGAATACGGTAAATCTAATAATATGGATGGCAGGGTCATCAAGAAGGCTGGCCTGCATGGTCTCTGTGAGATTATCTCCATAATGTACATGGCCCTCAACAAAAGAGATGAACAGTTTAATACACATGTAAATCATATTCATACCCCTTGTAAATTTGATGTTTTTGTTTGTTTTTTGTATTAACTCAAGAATAGGAAGGTAGACTACATATAGTTGAATTAGGGCATTTGTTGAATATTTTCAGATGTACATGTATACATGTATGTCACATTCTCAAGAAACATAAATCGGGACAATTCAATTTTTCACTATCAAACTTAATTTTTTTAACAAAATTTGGTAAGGGCATGAATAATTTAGTTGTGAACTGTATGATACAGCATGTACTGTATGTTTCTTCCTAGCATTAGTTGTGAACTGTGGTGCAGAATTGTACAATGTAGGCCTGCATTATGTGTACATGTACACTCTATGATGGGAGGGGGGGGGGGACTTTCAAATATAAATAAAGCTGCCACTTTTTGGTTTTGATGTAACAAACAATACTAATAATGTTGTTCAACAGCACAGTAAATGTAAAAATGTTATACTTGTAAACTTTTTAAAAGTCAATTGTACGGACTACTAATTACCTGTCCGAACACATATGTACATCATACATGTACATGTTTGTATTTAGGTATTGCATAGAAGAGGTGGTCATTTACTGCAGCTGTACATAAATCTAATAATAGATACCATACTGTAGGTTCGCTCCTACATGTACTACTCATCGTGTATCATCGGAATCATCCCTGTAGCATGGCGTACAATGTACAAGTAGACGAACACCCACCTTCTTCGCTTGATTCACATATTTAACAGATGAGTGGTTCACACTAATAATAACAGCTCTCTAGCCAGACAAAAAGATGTGCTTCACTGATGCCTTATGCTTACAACACATGTGTAGTCTCAATCTAGAAACTTCATCACTACAATGTACAAATGTACATGTACATGTACATGTATGTGATGAGTACATAAACATGTACACACGTTATTGTACAGTGAGAAAGATATACATGTATGTTTAGTATTATAATTTCTTTCTTTTTTACATGGTTACGAAGTACAATGTACATGTAGTTGAATTATCTACATGTACATGTACACTGTATAGAAGGACATGATACAAAATGTAATAAAAACATCAATGAGATTTTAAAGGTAAAGACCAGTTATGGTCATGCAATTGCATTGTGAAAGAAATGTTGTGGAATCGATCAGAAAAGGTTGATCATCTAGCATCTAGCATCTGCAAAGTTCTGGAATCATCAAAATTATAAGAAAATTGGCCCATTCTTCTTTAAGTTACAAGCACTATACACAGAAAGATGTATATGGGACTACCCTATATCTCTCACAGACCATGAGAGAAATAAATTTACCAAATATATCAATTAGTAGGCGGTTTCCCGGCAAATTTTTTATTATCATGTATTAGTCAAAACATATTCTTTCACATGATTGGTAATGAGAGCTTCCATTTCATTTTTTTGAAATTGGGGCGTTTCCAATACTGGTCTTTACCTTTAAAAATAAATATTGTTTATGTGCATCAAAAGATACAATGTACATGTACCGGTAACTGCTTTTCAATGAAAACAATAAGAATTCTACAAACAAAATAACGAATCATTAAAATAGAGAGATACTGGTACATGTACATGTGTACATATAACTTTTGGAGGAAGAACAACAACATACACGTTCATGTACATTTGTACATGTATATACATGTACCAGTGTCACCACTGGCCAATACAATCTTGGTTCCCATAACCTTTTTGATCTGATGATTCTGCAAATATTTTCAAAGGTACAATGTGAAAAAGCATCTCTGAAATCAACAAAAATGTTGCTATCTGATGTACTATCATCAATACT